CGACTGATCTGCCTCACCCAGGAAGAGTGCAATGATGGTGCCAACTTGGGCCAGTGAAGCAACGTCCTCCACAACTAGACTGAAGAAACAAAAAAAAAGACAGAAACTTGTCTGTTCCCCTTCCCCCAATTCCCCAGCGCTGTTCCCATCTCCCCAACCCCCCAATAAAAAAAAAAATCTTAAAAAAAAAAATACTGTTTTTGATCCACAGTTGGTTGAATATGTGGATGCGAATCCTTGGGGTACAGAGAGCTGACTGTATATTGAAAATAAATCTACGTATAAGTGGACCCAAACAGTTCAAACCCATATTATTCAAGGGTCAACTGTATTACTCTAAGGCCAGACAAAGACATTCTAAGAAAAGGAAACCTCAGATCAATGTCACTCATGAACACAGACACAAAAATTCTTAACAAAATATTATCAAATTGAATTCAGCAACATATAAAAAGTATTATACACCATGGCTAAATGGGGTTCATTACAGGAACACAAGATTGGCTTAATATGTGAAAATCAAGTAATGTAATACACATTTATACATGATAGAGGGGTTTTTTAATATAATAAAGGCTATTTGTATATTTTTAAAACACAAAATTGCTATTGTATTTATATAACTTGTATTTATTTTTAAAAAGTCAAATTTGGGCCGGCTGAGTGGCTCAGTTGGTTAAGAGCGCAAGCTCTGAGCAACAGGGCTGCAGGTTCGATTCCCACCTGGGCCAGTGAGCTCTGCCCGAGCTGAGCTTCAGCTGGTGAGAGCACGTGCTCCTAACAACAAGGTTGCCAGTTCAACTCCCGCATGGGATGGTGGGCTACGCCCACCCGCAAGTAATATTGAACACGGCACCTTGAGCTGAGCTGCCCTGAACTGCTGATGGGCAGCCAGATGGCTCAGTGGTTACAGTGCATGCGCTTAGCAACAAGGCTTCCGAGTTCAACTCCCCGCATGGGATGATGGGCTATACCCACCTGCAACTAAGATTGAACACGGCACCTTTAGCTTAGCGGCCGCGAGCTGCTGACGGGCAGCCGGATGGCAACTGGACTTGAAGCCGAGCTTCAAGATTGAAGGAGAACAACTTGGCTGTTCCCCTTCCCCAACTCCGCAATAAAAATCTTTAAAAAAAAAAGTCAAAATTTACAATATCAGAAATTACATCCTAAACTTTTAAAAATTAAATGTTTAAACTATTTAAATTTATGATAAAAAATTTCATATGGCAACTTAAAAGTGTGTAAGAGATACATAGATTTCCCAATGTTTTGGACACTCTGAAGCAAAAATGTCTTAAGACCACGCTGACCCCAGACATGCCTGAAATGACAAGAGGAAAAAGAATTACTCATGCCAAAGGAACACCATCATATCTTCAGACAGCCAATAAAAAATTACTTTTTAGGTCCGGCTGAGTGGCGCGATGATTGGGTGCTGGCTTGGGACGCCAGAGGGCCCCGGTTCGGATCCCACCTATGAGGGCCAGTGACACTGCCCTCCACAGCTAAGATGCTGAACAACAGCTCAACCTGGAGCTGGGC